AATATCAAAATATCATCCAGATAGATGACAACAAAGTCATCGAGGTATTCCCGAAAGATGTCGTTCATCATATGCTGAAAGACCGCTGGAGCATTGGTAAGACCAAAAGACATGTCATTGTACTCAAAATGGCCATACCTTGTACGAAAGGCTGTCTTCCATTCATCTCCTTCTTTGATTCGCACAAGGTTGTATATTGGACCAAAAGGTAGTTGCGCTCCTTCCTCTAAGTCTATGGCGCAATCATATGGTCGATGTTCCGGCAGTATATCGGCATTCTTCTTCTGAAACACGTCTTCAAAATCCCTATATTGCTCTGGTATATTCGATGTTGAGATATTCTCGCCGCTAGTTGGAGCTGCATAAATGACAAATGGTGCGCCTTCCTTGGACGATCTTAGGAACGCTCTCGCTCCAATAAACATGGATTTCTTCATGTAGGTTCTACCAACAGGTTTATTATTATTTTTTTCAGGAAATGTTATCCTTCGTAGCCTCCAATCAATGGACGGATTATGATCTTCTAACCAAGAAAGACCAAGGATAACAGGGCTTGACGGGGTTCTAATAATATTAAAAATAACGTGACTACTATGGTCCTTCTATAGGTTCTGATTCGTGGGTAACGTTGCCTGACAATAAGGCTCGTCCATCTATCACCTCTACGTGAACAGGTTTGGACTTCTGTACTAAACGGATCTTGTGGCGTTTAGCAAACTCTTCATCTAAAAAACAAGTAGATGCCCCCGAATCCAATAAAGCTAAAGTTTTTTGTTTTTGAGGGCCTAAAAACAAACGAATTATAAAACAACGGGCAGGTTGGACAGAGAAGGAAGAACCTCATTGTTGTCGTGATATTAGATTGTCTAGCCGCACGGTTCCTACTGTGGCTGGGCGTCGTCGTTTTCCGGAATCATCGCACTTCTAGTCTTGACAGGGTGCCAATTTTGCTTCTTTGGGCAATTTCCAACCTTGTGACCTTCTTCTCCACAGTATAAACATAACCCTTCTTCCATACGCCGTTTCTTCTCTGTTGGAGTAAGAGATCGGACACGCGCCGTGTCGATTTGCATGTCTGTTGCCTCCGAATGTGAGTTTAAGCTATTTGCAGACATAGTCACGTCGTAACGAGTCATTTGGTGTCTTGGACGTTGGTCTTGGCGACGCTGGAATAGGCGGTTGTCACACTTTACAGCTTGGCTAATAGCTTCGTTGAGCGTTTGAGGATCAGGAAGAGATAACAGCAAGTCCTTCACATCATCCTTCAAGCCCCAATAAAACTGGCTCACCAACGCCTCTTCACTCCAATTAATGTCACTTGCCAATTGTCTGAAATCGGAGGCATAGACTGATGCAGAGCGTGTTCCTTGTCGTAGCGATCAGATCTTTGTTGTAGCCCATCGAACTTTATCATGCTCGCCAAATGCTTCTGCAAACACCTCCAAGAACGTTTCAAAGTTGCTCAAGATTGGCGATCGCTTCTCGAACTAGGGAGTAAACCAAGACAGAGCTTGTGCTGTAAGCAAGGTTCCAACAAGCCCAACACACGCTTCCTCCGTCAGATAACGTTCGGGCTGTAAAATTGTTATCAACCTGATTTGGTTGACAAAACCTCGAAACTTGGAACGAGTTCCATCAAACTTATCCGGAAGACTAACTCGAGGCTCCTGTCAAGGACAAAGACTCGATGAGGGAAAATATACACCAAAAGGCTATCTCGATATAATAAGTCAAAATATAAACAAGTAGGTATATTAAAAGGAAACTGGAATGGCTATTGCCACAAGACAAGAAACTAAAGACTCTTGAACCTGGACTAGAAGCAAGAAAGGAGTTGACAAGAGTGAAGAAGCCTTCACTCTTGTCTCTATATATATTATCTAACTAGGGGCTACGTGGCGACGTTCTATAGGACCTCCAATATGTGTTGACTTTGTAGGACACATGCCTTGACTTACAAGGCAAGTTTTTCTACGTGTGGGCCACATAGTTAGCTTGATCTTCAAGCTAACAACATGTGTGGCACATGGCCAACTTGTTGACCACGTTTCTAATCCAAAAAGTCAATTAAAGACACCTATGAAGTCAAAGCAACGTCTAGGAAGTTTCTAGGAAGCTTCTATATTAAATATTATAGAATTAGCTTACTTTTATCTACTTTTACTTACTTCTACCTATTTCTATATGTAATTATTAGCTTACATGATTATGGCCGTGACAGCTCCTTTTGTTGTAGGACTACTCGATCTTGTTGAAATGGAGGTAGAACTGCTTCTTCTGGCGCAGAAGTTTGAGGCTGATATGCTTTAGATGGCGCTATCCCAGATGCTCCATTGTTATGGAGTCCTACCATGACTCCTTCGATCTCTGTTGTCCTATGTGACAACGAGGCAAGAGCATTTATGATGGTGTCTAGTTTGGATTCCAAACTTTCAGCCATTTTAACATCTTAACCTTCGGCTAACCTTCAAAAAGAAGAAAAAAGAGTTTTGACAAGAGGACAGTATTGGTTCAGAGGAGAGTACTCCGCAACCTCTAAAACGCCTTAAGACTCCAAGATGAGGGGTAATCCACTCTCTTGAAGAAGAATAAGGCTGCAATATTGAGAAAGAAGAGATATCAGTTTAGAGGAGGGTAATCCGCAACCTCTAAAACACTAGCACACCTTCAAGAAGAGGGGTAATCCACTCTCTAACAAGAAGGAACTAGCTCTGATACCAGTGATAATGCAGTCTCGACAAACTGTCTTGGACACAAAATACAGACTTGAATTCTAATAAGAAGTTCAAGAAGAAGTGGCAGAACTTGATTAAACAGATGAGTACAAGAACAACACCAGAAAGGTGAGCTAGAACTCCAAGAGATGTGTTGTCGAGACTGAAGAACCCTTCAGCCTCGACTCCTATATATACTACTGAATAGGAAGCTTCTCGAGCTACTTCTGCTAACTAGGACGCTTCTCCAACAACTTCTACTAATTAGGAAACTTCTCGAGCAACTTCCTAGAATCTATTAGAATATTCTAGAACCTTCTAAGAGAATCTTTAGGGAATATTCTAAGAATCTTCTAGAACCTTTTAAAGGAATCTTTAGAGAATCTTTAGAGAATATTCTAAAAGAATATTCGAAGAATCTTCCAATGTATGTCCATGACAGTTCCACAACACGTCAAAAGCGGGACATCGCAAAGTACTAGTGACAATGAAAGAATTGTCCAAGAAATACTATTGGCCTCATCTCAAAGTAGATGAAGAAAAGTATGTGGCTTCTTGTGCCAAATGCCAAATGAATAAGGCAAGTACTCAAAAGATAATGAATTTGCTAAATCCCTTGCCCATACCAAAGGTACCATATAGACGTTTGTCAATGGATTTCATGACATCTTTGCGCGTCATGTAAGGTTATGATTCCATCTTTGTAGTAGTGGATAGGTTTAGTAAACATGCAAAGTTCATTCCAATTAAGTGGGGTGATGGTGTTGAAAGAACAATACAACTCTTCTATGATCACTAGATTTGCCAAAAAGGGTATCCAGAGAATATAGTAAGTGATAGAAATGTGCAATTTTTAATGGCCTTTTGGCAACACTTGATGAAAAGATCAGGGACCGAACTCATCTTGACTATTGCATTTCACCCCCAAGGAGATGGTCAAACCGAAAAGATCAATGCAATCCTTAATATGTATTTGAGAAATCATATAGCAGCTGACCATAGTGATTGGGTATACATGTTACCACAAGCTAAGTTTTGTTATAACATCATTCATTCCACAAGTATTGGAATGAGTCCATTCAAGGTAGCTCATGGATTTGACGCCTTAAGACCTACTGAATGTTAGAAAAAAAAAGATGAGGATTCTCCATCCACATTCTTTTCTGAGGAAGCAACAATGTGGGTCTCTAAAAGAAAGTACATTTAGAAAATGGCCATCCATTTTCTAGAGCAAGCTAAGAAGAAATACAAAAGAGTGGCTGATAAGCATCACCTCGAAGTTGTGTATGAAGTTGGAGAGTTGGTTTGGTTAGACACCACGAAGTTGTCCATTCCCAATTCATTGTCACATAAGTGGGTGCAAAGATGGGCTGGACCTTACGAAGTTTTAAAGGTAATACATAAAGTTGTATACCTCATTGATATTCCGAAGAAAGGCAGGTTTCACCCTGTATTCCATGTCTCAGTGTTGAAGAAATTTATTTGAGATGAGAAAGGATTTCACCCTGAATAAATATTGAGGCCGAAGCCTTCATATGGTGTATGGGATAAGACACTAGGACAAGTAAATGGAATAGTAGGGAAGAAAAGACTAAGCCAGGGCTTAGTGTATCAATGTACTTTTGAAGGATTCCCAGTAACAGAATACCAATGGGTTTCTGCAAACTATCTAAGGCACATTAAACCACTCATTGATGCTTATGAAGCAAGAATGGAAAGTGTGGACAAAGAAAAGAGAAGTATCAAGAGAAAGACTCCAAAACGATGAAGACATAGTTCCTTCAAAAGTGAGGGAGGAAACTTGAAAAGCAAACACACAAAAAAGGAAGCTAACAATGTGAAACTAAAATCCCAATTATAAATGATGTTAAGTGGAAGAGTTAAATAGTGGAGTTACTGGAAAGAGGGGTGCCACTAAGCTAGCTCTCGAAGCAAAGTAAGAGAAGCTCACTAGAGACAGGGGTGAGGCCGTCAATCCGGCCTTATAAGGATTGGTTTGTATTTTTTGCGAAAGCAAAATGTGAGAGTTGCTCCTCATGTCCAAAAAGGGATACAAAGGCTAAGGCAGGGCGAGTCTTAGTACGGATCTAGTGGTCAAGCAATCACCCATTGTACACCCAGTTGGAACGGGGCTCTGGAAAGGAAACAAAGTTCCTGTTTAAGGACAGCTGTTATTCTAATTTTTATTTGAGAAACTCTTACGCTGTGTTACCGTTGACATCGATGGACAGAGTGATGCTTATTCGGGTTCGAAGCACAACATTAAGGGCCATAAACTTTAAAGGATTGAGTTATAGGTGGACTGGGTATTGATAGAGCATGACGCTACATCGTGGATCATATCAAACTCTTGTCTTCCATGCTCTTTCAGGATCTGGTTGTCGCATGCGAAGGATACACTGGATGTCATGATGCAAGACAGAGCTATACGCACGTGGGATTTTCTCTTGGTTCCCGCATTTCTTACTGATTTCGTCACCTTCATCGGAGGGTTTCATGCAGCTGGAATTTGGATCCATCGTTTAGAAAGTGGAAATTGGGGATGGTTTATAAATTAGTGCTTTCGTCGATAATACCTGAGTCGCCAACATGCTCAACACTTACACAATGTAGAGCTACAAGCAATCTTTGATTGCCATTAGACCGGGCTTTTATTCTGCCATCGACTGACCTTTATTATCTCTTGTCCATTGGATTTATCAGCAACGGCGGTGGACTTCATGATGACGCAAGAATAGCCTTACGACTTATGTGGTGATAAGGCACAGGATTTCGTTCCTGAGGTAGCATGTTGATTAATGGAGGGGTATAAATGGTTTGTGTTAGTGTATCTGTTCTGGCAGACGTTTGCAAGTTGAAATTTAAGCTGATGCATTTCCTTTCTTTAAGTGGAGCGGCTTGGTTCAATTTTCTATCACTTAATTGGGAGCCGTATCTCTTTGCCTTGAGGTTTAGTATGGTTCGTATTCTGGATAGAAACGACTTTATCCTGGTCTACGAGTCATTGCCGTTGCTTGAGCAAGTTAAGGTTCACCCACTTTAGTCTCAAATCGCTTTCATTAGCTATATTGCCTACGTTTCGTAAAAGCCATTTCTCGTTAGTTTCAGTTGAAAGTCGAAAACAGTGTTTTCCATCGATCAGCCGTAGGCTTTGCCTTGTATAAGAAACGTCGTCGATTTGCACTCTCTTGTTACGTGGCTACGTATGAAAGTCTGACGAGCACATCCACGTTTTGGAGGTGGGTGGAGGAAATTGGTTTGATATTAGGATCGAGCCAGGGTTCGTGAAAGAACTCAATGGAGAGGCATATGCACCAAGCTGGCGTTAACTCACTTAGTGACACAAGATCTTCAGTCTTTCAATACCAGTTCTTTCCAGGTAAGTCTCATGTCTGATGATCATCTTATTTGGACCTGTCCAAGTGAAAAATACTGTGCGACCTCTCATCACTCTGTTCTTTCCTGAGGCATCAAGAGAGGTTTGTTGTCGAAAACATATTTTTCGTATTGCCAATCTAACAGTGAAAGTATTGTTCGAATCTTTAGCAGAAATTGGATGTATTTGTTGCCCTTTTGTCGAGCAGTTTGTTTCCATTTTGTGGCTCTTACTGTACTGGTAGTCTTTCATCATGTTTATGCAAATTCGGCCACCTCAACTATTACTAAATAACGAGTAATCCTTGAGTTATCCTTAAAATAAGGATTGATTTAACCGGATGGAATAAGTTAAGAGTAAAGTTAAAAAAACACGAACCTAAAAATGAAAGGATGTCTTCCACAATTCCATCGTAAGGCATCAGGAATATTCAGCAAATATTGATGACTTATCATCTAGTTCTCGCTAGGAGATGAATTTTGATAAATCTACTCGACAATCTGGTGGCAGTTAACACTCTGGATCGAATGAGCAATTGCCATCGAGTTCTTATTTGTATGGGTCAGCCTTCCCCTTCACTCTCAAACGTCATTGACACGTGTGTGCATTCTTTAACTCAAGTTTTCTTTAGACCGATGAGTTGTTGTATGGAAGTTGTATATAAACGATTGTCATGGGTTTTTGTTATGTGAGCAACGACGTAATTTGAACCATTTTAGTTCTGACGATGTACTTTTTCTTGTCCTGGTATCTGAGGTACTCCACGTATTGCAATGAAATTGTTGAAAAGAAATCCCGAGGAACTACCTCTAGATCTTCAGTTTCAGCAAATTCGTTGAGCTTGTGGTATCATATTGATTACATACTTGCCACATCTATCCTTCATGTCTAGAAGAGGCGAGTAGCGGTCTTCACACACCAAGTAGGTTTTAATATGCCAAGAGATTAGTAGGTTTTTGCTTAAAAGTGGTTTTCAGTAGTTAAATCATGTTCAGGATTAGGTACTAATCTGCCCCTTGTTCCACATATTGTTTCAAAATCGGTATATCTTAATTATGTTATAGAGAGCTACAATCGACCTAATTGTCTTGTTCTTATAATAGTTGTAACCAGGCCAACTTCTAGCTGAGCAGAAGTGCATCTTCAACTTCTTCTCATTGTGAATTTCATTTAGAGTGATCGTGAAACTGATTCCACAATTTCAGGGTGTTTTATTATGTGTTGGTTCTTTACAGTTCTTACTTTCGTGATGCTGTCAATAGTTCGATGCACCTCTGCAAGGTAGCGTATAGAAGTTCATGAGGTAGTTAAAACGAGGATCATAGAACATGGTATGATCCGAGATCCTGTCATCTACTTTTGGAAATGAACACAATTTTAATGCTCGTTTTGTGCACGCTTGCTGACAACTCGACTAAGGCTGTTGATTTCAGCACCTAATTCAGAATATATGAAAGTTTACTACATTTGGATGCGAAATTCACATCTTGTGTAGAGCGTCCATATGCTGTGGGTCGTTGTTTTCTAGAGGTTCGATATTTTCACCCTGGCTTGAATCTTTTTATCTCGAATTAAATTTTTTCTTGTTGGATTAGAACATGTGCCTGCTTATGCAGTCGTCTCTCTCTCTCTGCACATCTCTACATACTTCTGTACTCTTGCATGCAAGTGACTATTATTGTTTGATAAGTATTATAATTCGCTTCCTAGATGTGGGATTTTCTCTCTTTTAACGTGGTGATGGAACTTCAGAATTTTGTGAGAATCTGCTGGGACACGTAGGTTGTAATGATTTGTTTTACTATATGTTTCGCAGATCGTGAAGTGGTACACGATTTCTGATATTATGTAATACATATCCAGAATTATTTTTTTTCCGCCTTGGGCATATGAAAACCTCTCTATCAGGTCGAAAACGATACGACACTATCCATTGCAAGGACTCTCATTATTGCCGCTAGATTGGTGTTTTCTGAGAACTGCACGGTTGAAAAAGAAGTTGACTTGGCAGCTTCTTGCACGTCCCATGTTGTTCTTTCAGAGAGCATACAGTGTGTTGAGGTTCTGGGTTGTAGTTAGGTGGTGCGTCAAGTCGTTGATGAGGACAGCATCTTTCCTGCCTGAGCTGGGCAGGTAATTTTGATCTGGTATTTCAAGGCTAAGGGATGATTCCACTGAGCCTAACGTTTAAAGTAAGCCTATTTACATTTCTTTCTCCTTGAACCCTATGTTAACATTATATTTCGAGATTTCTGAAGAATGGATATGAAATGAAATTTAGTGATTCAAATTCTTGTATTCATTCCTTCGGAGGTCAAGTGTGACATACAGTATTACCTCTACTAAGTTATGAGTCGGTTCGCATCCTAGGGTAGAACTTATGGGAGGTTATAACTTAGCAGGGGATAAGTTAGCACTGTAGAACTATGTCGGTTCCACTGTTTTCCCATAGCTTTGCAGAGGTTATAACTTAGTAGGGGATAACTTAGTAGAGGAAATATTGTATTTTGTATGTTTCTTTTTGCTGGCTGAACAATGCCCCAGCCAACTTTTTTCAAATTTTATCATCTCTTTCTCTGCTTACCATACTATCACTCCAGACCTTATCCCAGAGATGACCTATACATATTCAGGGAGATCCTCTTTGGTATCCTGGACACTGCATGTATTCTGATGCTGTCAATGTTTGTTTAGGTTTCTGCGACTCGGTTGATGTGCCTTGTGGTATCTCGTTTGAACGCAGTTGATGTGGTGTGGTTCGCAAGCTCTTGGACAATATTTGAGAAGGGCAAATCATAGATACCTGTATACCTAGATTATGTCAGACTCTACGATACGATCTTGGCTTACTACACTGAGTCGTTTGCAGGAAAAATAGGGAAATGGTGAAGCTTATACTTGCGTATGTTCCCTCTTCTATCCAGTTCGCAGGAAGACAAAAGGGGAATGGTGGAGATTATACTTGCGTATGTTCCCTCTTCCATTGCAAGCAAAGTGGTGACGAATGTTGCGGATATCGAGAAGTTGAATAACTTGATGCTGTTCAAGTTGCAGTGAATAAACCTCTTTTGGCCTAACATGATTGTGCCTGCTGGCCTGGCACCCTTGCATATTTCTGGTAGTATGCAAGATAATGAAGATATTGTGGTCGAACTCACGAGCGATCGCGAGGTTTGTACCCATTATTCCTTCTTAGTAGTTCGTCCAGTAGAACTGGCCGCTCATGTGCATGGTGAGCAAATAATGTTGTAGAATTGCAGTATCAGTTGACCATTTCAGCTGTTAGGGTAACCTCTTCAATAAATATGTCATATAGATGTATTAATAGAATGATTAGTAATAATGTGCAACAAAATTTGTAGTTAGTGATGTATACAATTGGATCCATCAAAACCAGATCTGACTTTGTAAATTAGATATTAAATGACTCATTCTTTAAATATTGATTGTCAATCTTCCTTTCTTGGAATATGTTTGAAAAACTTCTGGAATTTTGGAATATTTGGGGTGATGAGTTTGCAATTTATTCCCAGGATATTTCGTTTCATGAACTTAGGACTTGTGGGAATCCACATCATAATAACTAGAACTTTGATGAAAGAAAAGATTGACTGTTTTAGTCGAGAGACGCCAAGAAGCCCTAACCTGAAAGGATTTGTGGATCGGACGGATCCTGAAAGCAATTTAATTTTCTTTTCCCAATTCTAAAGTCGATATGTAGTCAGTTATTCCTCTGCGGGTCTAGAGCTCCCTCTAAATTTAAAATGGAGGTAGACATTCAGCAGATTGGGTTGCACGCTTGGGTGAGCAAACTCGATGGTAATGGCTGCACTCCTTTGCAGCGCGCAACGGCCGGAAACCATACCCCAAGTCAAATCAGTTGGCTGCGCTCGATGGGAAAAGACACCAAGTATGTATCAGCATCCGAACCTCTCCTTCAAACTTGGGATATAAAGTCACTTGATGATGCTGAAGGTGGGACTAGAGGCCTCTACTCTTTGGAACTTGCAGAGTGGCTGGAAAGTGGCACTGTTCTAATAAAAGATAAAAAATAAATACAGTCCATCGACACGGCTCTTGCCACATGGAGACTTCATGTTCCGCGGGGACCATTCTGGTGGCATAATCAGAATAATCTTAAGACGAAGAAACACAAGATTTGTGTGAATCATATCTTGACACTGCACAGGTAGGTAGACAACGTGCACTGCAGCAGGCGTGTAGACTTCGTAAGTCGAGGAAGTGCTATCGTCTGGCACTCATCCCTGTTGTCGAGCTCGAACAAACATCTGTGGAAGTGGAATCCATCAGTTCTGGTGCAGCTTAGAGATGTACGATGGCTTCCTCATCAACAAATCGATCCAAGCTATCAGCCCAAGACATGGTCCCTAATGATCGAACAATACAACGATGAGAATCAACAGTGAGAACTCATTCACTCTTCTTCCATTATCCTACTGTGGTTTTCATCTATTTAGCAACACAGCTTTGGAATCATGCTATTTGTGACAATGAAGATCCTCGAACACAGTTACTGTTCAGTACCAATGGTAATGAACATAAATGAGAAGAGAGTCTGTCTGAAGATATATTTAGCATCTCTTTTTGTAGAAATCGAAACGACATCATTTTGTCATTTATAGCTGTCTGGAGTCATCCTCAGGGAACGGGAAGATAACAACCACAAATTCTCGCAACCGACAGGTATCAGTGTGAGCTCAGGCTCTCAAGATCAACACTGCTTTTCTTGTATCCATAGGACTTGCATTCAACTAAAGACGGCGGTAGATTCAAATTGTGCTACTGATCAGATAGATTTGCTATAAAATGATGAAGATCATGTCAGATTGGTGCAAAGTCACCAGCTGCCGCCGAGTCCGATGCTCGTTACCCGATTGGAAGCTTTTGAATTGCCACGCAAAGACATGATTTTTCTCACTCTCTCTTTACAAGGAGTGTTAAATATGGAGAATTTGTTCGATAAAAATATTCAAAAATCATCCTAGAAACATCACAAACAAGGTGAGCATGACAAGAGTAGTGTGTGGGTAGTAGAAAAACTTACATTTTTGTTTTCTTTTGGAGGAGAGAGTTAAATTTTCAAATAAACTGTGGAATCTTTGGACTGTAAACAACTATTTCTATAGCTGCCGATTTACTATCTCTGTGCCTTTAATGCTAGGAAAGTTGTAGAGTGTAAAAAATAAATAAATAAATAAAACAATGAATTAAGTTCTGATCTGCAACAAAATCCATTACAAGAGACAAGAAGATTAGACCAAAAGTATTTACTAAATCAAAATCCTCTTCGTGTATTTTCTTCCTTTAACATCCTTTGGTAATCATGTGGGCTTCTTCAAATATGGTTTTTTAGAACTATTGTAAAGTTATAGAAAGTATACTTAGCTGTTGGATTTCACAGAATAATTATTTGAACAGAAAAGGTTTGTGGGACTTCATTTCCTTTTTAATTTTCAAATATAAACTCATTTTTATCATTTTATTTTTATTTTCTAAGCTTAAAATGTACAAATTTAGAAAATAATGTGTGCATTTTTTGTGATGAAATTGTATTTTATTTAATATTATTTTTTTAAAAGTAGAGATGGAAATTTTAAAAATTAAAAAAGGTTAAGTGTTATTTTTAATTAACTTTGATGTGATAAACAAAAAGTCCTGTAAGATATTTAAAATACTTGGTATATAATTAATGGTAACGTTGCAATCAAATATTTTGGTACTTTGTGATACAATGTTGTGTTTTAAAGAATTGCCAAAAAAAATCATGGCAGCGTATTCTTTACACGTTAATATGAAGAATATATTGACTCACAAAGCAAACGGATTATCATGATATTGTTAAAAAATCATTGGTTATTTTACAATATCATGATAATCCGTTGAATTTATATTTTGTAAAATAACCAATGACAGTCCTTACAGAACAACATGAAGTAGTTAGATTCTCATGTTTTTGTATGTATTATAGACCTGTTATTGCTATCCTTATCTGAAATCAAAATACATACTTAATACCTCTCGTAGGCTACAATCATACTTTTACTTTCTACTCAATTTTGTATGAGATATTTTCAAAGTGAGACAATTGCAAATAGGATTCATACAAATTTTATAAAAAATTCCTCCAAAATTATAAAATAAAAAAATACAAATTTTTCCATATTTAAAATCTTAATATTGTTTGTGCTCACAAATTAAAGTTATGCATGTGTGTAGAAAATAAGACAATATTAAAACATATTGACACGCTTTTTTAATAACCAACATCTTGTAATCCGTGCAAACATTTCAACCAATTAGTTTTCATATTATATGCACCACCAATTTACATAAAAAATTTAACATTAATTTTATTTATGTTTATTTATTTATTTGTTTGTTTTTTAAAATGAAACTATTGGTGGCTCTGCAATGATACAGTTTGCCAAGTCTCAACCCCCTTTCAAAGCCCATGTCTCAACCCCCTTTCAAAGCCCATGTCTCGCATCAACTCATCCTCACCGTCCATTCCAACCACCTGGACACAATTAGTGCTGGTAGATCTACGGTAGATACACCCCGACAATTGGAACGCGTTCACACGTACCCCACTTTTATCAATCCCGAATGGAGGGCTACGTTCACACGGAGGCGTCACTCGTCGCGGCGAGAAAGCAAGGAAGGAAGGGCAGTAATAGAAGTGTCTCAACGAGGCTCTCCTTTTTCGTGGAGCTTGGTGCGGAGCTCTCGATCATTATTGCCACTCCATCGCCGAGGATGCTCTGGCGCTCATGCCGCTCCTCCTCGCAAGCTTCTCAAACCCTAGCGCTCTGTCTGGCTCAGAAATTTTCTCTTCCCTTACAGCGCCTGGTCTTTCTCTCGCGGTTTTTGGGCCGTCGATGAGGGTGGAGTGAGAAAAATAACGTGTTGAAGGAGCGGTGGGAGGAGAGACGAGGAAGGGATTTGTGTGTGTTTGACGGTGCAGGGGTTAGATCTGTTGGCAGGGAGGAAGAGATGAGAAGGTAGCTTGATTGCGGGACAGGAATGCTTGAAAGTGCTCGCGGAAGCGGATTGCGCTGCGGAGAGTCGGGGAGGAGGAGAAGGAGGAGGAGTTTTTTGAGGTGAGGGCGAGGGGAGGATGCCTATTGCCATGGGGCCGTTGCCTTCCACGTCTGGCCGGGATCGGACCTCGGAGTTCCACGCCATCGTCGATAGGTTGAGGAAAACGCAGGGGTCGACTTTGCCTTATGCGAATGAAGCGAACGGGGCTGTAACGAACGGGCATGCGGGTGAAACCGCGCGGCTGTTGCCTCCTACGACTGGCTCCCTGCAGTCGGAGTTTAACAAGCGTGCGTCGCAGATCGGGCTTAGTATTCATCAGACCTCTCAGAAGCTCTCCAAACTAGCCAAATGTGAGTTGCCTTGTAGGTTAATTTGTGCAGAAGATTGTTGTTGGGGGGTAGGATGGGACTGTAATGGTAGGCGCCTATCGTAACGGTGTGCATGGAATGTGTCTTATCTGGGGCAAAGATGCGACGGATGAAGAAGAGCAAGATATCAATGCATGTTTTGTATTTTCAATGCGGCATGCAGGGGTAGTATTGTTTGGATACTGAATCAAGTCTAGATCGAGATCTTTCTGTGTGAATTTGAAGGAGTGGGTTGTGTTTTAGGTTCTGAAACGAAATTCTGGAGGTAATTTTGGTTTTTTTATTTTTTTTATTTTTTGTTTCTTCTGTTTGGATCGGTGGATGAACAGCTAGCTGTAGGACTGTTGACCAGGAAGTCGAATGAATTTTAGTTCCTCTAGGTTTATTGAAGTATGCAGGAGATGTGAGAATGATTGACCTTGATTGAGCGGGGCTTACTGGATGACTTAACAACTCAGTGAACTGGCCTTAATTGAACCATTTTATTGGAGTACTTGATTCAGGATTTTTATAAATTTTGAGGATAAATCTTCGACTAAGTGAACGATTGGCACCGGTTTAGTCGTGTTTTTGTTAATTGATTGACATTTGGGCATGGTTGTGTCTGGTATAGTGGCAAAGCGAACATCGATGTTCGACGATCCAGCAGTTGAGATTCAGGAGCTTACATCAGTCGTCAAACAAGACATTACGGCATTAAATGCAGCCATATCTGACTTGCAACAACTTTGTGATTCAAGAAACGATGGAGTGAACCAAACCAAGCATAGCAGTGAACATTCCACCACAGTTGTAGATACTCTTAAGAGTCGTCTTATGAACACTACGAAGGAGTTCAAGGATGTTCTCACATTACGGACGGAGGTTAGCAATTCTCACGATACCTAGGAGGATTAGGCTTTTCTGGTTTTGGATGGTTAGCAGTTGTAGGTCCCGCATTCGTGTCAGACCTCTTTTTCACTTTCAGAAACTTGTCCTGCACACCCTTTTTTTTTCTTTTTTTTTCTTTTTTTTTCTTTTTTTCACTTCTTTCCTTGTAGACAGTCGTCGTTGGTTGTGGTAACGCGCTCATAGTAACTCATGTGATTATCGAAGTCACAAATGGTATTTTGGTTAAAGTGAAAGACTAATCTACTTCATCCTCAAAACCTGCAGAATTTGAAGGTTCACGATAACCGAAGACAACTCTTCACTGCTACGGCGAATAAGCAGGTGAATCCGTACGCTCGGCAGGGGCCACTAGCGTCTGCTGCCCAGAATACCGCTTCTAGCACAAGTGTTTCTCTTCCACCTTGGGGCAATGGAGCTGGGAGAAGCAATGAGCTTTTTAGCTCAAGGTAACCAAGTCCCTCTCATCTAGTAGTGTTTAGTTCACTTTTTAGTCTTGTGGATAAATGTGAAGCAAGTTTTTCTTAATGTTCAATATCCAAACCTAATCGTCTTTCTGTTCTACTGCCTTCTCTTTCTTATTCTTGTTCCTCGCTTTCCCTACCTTTTTCAAAATTTCTTAGAAGCTGTTTTAAGAAGAACAATCTTCTTTGTTCACACCTGCTTATCTTTGTTTTGATCGGTTATGTCGCATTTACAGGCGGCGACATACAGCCGACGGACCAGAGAGCTCGCAGTCACAAGCGCGTCTGCAGCAACAGCAGTTGGCTCCTGTTCAGGACAGTTACATGCAAAATCGTGCAGAGGCTCTTCAAAACGTAGAATCTACCATTGTGGAGCTGAGTACTATTTTTACCCAGTTAGCCACCATGGTTGCTCAGCAAGGGGAGGTTGCCATCAGGTATACATCATTGAAATGGGAATTCCTCTCGCATGGATTTGTTCTCATTTACGCCTGTCTTTATGCCTGTATAGTAACTGATTCTCTACCTTTTCCATTTCGAAACTGTGCATGTTTGGAAAATGTAGACCTCAATGGCTTGTGGTCGACGGGTCTGAAATATTGTATGATGACGTTAGTGCTTGTTCGATCACAATCGTGTCAAGTTACACTCGAACTTGAATTAGAGCTGAAGGATGTGCTGCTCACTTTTGTCGCTGGTAATTTGTGCAGGATTGATGAAAATATGGATGAGTCTCTTTCAAATGTTGAAGGGGCACAAAATCAGCTTCTAAAGTATCTTGACAGTATCTCGTCAAATCGGTGGCTTATTCTCAAAATTTTCATGGTTTTGATCACATTTCTCTTGATTTTTGTCGTTTTTGTAGCTTAGATCTTTCGGAGAGTAGTGCCTTTCGAGTTTTATTTTTCAGGCTTAATCTGCTTCGATGGACATTTCATTCATTTATCAACTCTGCTTGAGTACCAAGAAAAGGCTCCCAACATTGTAAAATAATTAATGTTTCGGTGGTCCATTGCTCTTGCCCTTCATAACCTCATTTTCAGAGCTAGTAGATACTCGTACTAGTTTCAGCATCAGATTGTTGTGAATTAGATTACAGGATATCTTCTTACCAGTATACTGCTTTCTACTCTTAAAAGATACCGTGAAGTCTTCGAAGTCATACTAGGTTGTGTATCTTAGATGTCGACCTGAAGATAGTATTTTGACATGTTTGGAACTGCCAGCTGTAAACTTTGTATTCTGATAGTTAAAAACAGTGTGCGAATATTGAGGTTGATTTATCAGGTCATTGTGCATTCTGGGCAGATCCAAAATGATGAAGTTTGCACTCGGCATTTTTGCCATTTTTTTATTTTTGTCCTTGGACGGATATTTTTGCAATATTTTGAAACTGAGTAAAATTCAAGGACTCTAACTGCTTCAATTTTTAGCTGTGTTCGTTGTATTACATCAGTGTAATTTTGGAAGCAGTGGATTGCAATGGTCGGCCTTGAATGATACATCTGTGCTCTCATAGTATGAACGCTCTAATTTATCGAAGATCGTTCAATTGTTCTGCAGGTATCAGTAACATATAACTATTTTGGGCATTAACGTTGATTTCTGTGTAGTTTTAGAATTATTCTTTACAACTTAAATTTTTGAAGAGCCATGTCACCAATAATAAGATTTACTTAGAATTATTATAGAATATTTTTGAAACTTTTCACATGGGGTATTAGAAACTTGAAAACCTAGTTTACAAATTTTTTTTCTTTGTTATATATATATATATATATATATATATTTGTAAATCCTTTGAATTGTATGTTTTGTTAGATTCTACTTTTATTTACAATATTTAACATTCTTAGTTTACACTTAATTCATTAAGAATTCAAAGTAATCAAATTAATGAAGCCTATTCTAAAATTTAGTTTTCTTTAAATATATATATGGAATCTTATTTATATTTCAAAATTATCCAATGAAATTTCAGAGGCTGTGAAATACCTACATTAAATTAATTGATGTTGTTCCATTTTGCCCAAACCGTGCATTTTTTATGACCTTGTTAAGATTTGGTTGAAACCAAAAGAATTATAATCAATTAAATAAAGGAATGAAGTGCAAGACCAATTCTAATGTAGTAAATTCAATACAATAACTTAGTTTACATTTTAATCAACATGCTTCAACAATAAAATACAAAAATGTAAAAAAAATCTTCAACAGCTTTACCAACTCATGTTTACTTACTGTTACAAACAATCATGAACATTGACTTGTATTTAAAGGTCAAATTTTAATATTTTAAGAATACTGATTGTCAACAAGTGTATATTAAGAATATTCACAAAACTTTATCATAAATGCTCAAAATTAAATCATTTAAAATTAAGCACAATAATTGTTTCTGTTCTTTTTCTTTTCTTTTTTTCCTAAACAATCTAGATATATTTCTTGAAAAATTGCAATCCTTCCACAAGTATCACAATAGAAAAAAAATTAAAAATAAAAAATCTAAGTTTTTCAAAATTATTATTATTACATAGTTTGATGTATTTGGAGTATTAAATTGACTTAGGTATATCTTTAATGGATTTACTTTTGTTCACACCATTTTGTACCAAGTCATATATTCCTCACCAATCCAAAGAAGGTCATTCTCTCTCATCAATCTCTCAATTTTACATTTGTAGAGATCATTTTCTTATTCACACATGTTGACAATCAATAGAGAAGTTTGTGGGTATTTCAATTGATTATGGGCGTAGTGTGTAATGACTCCAATGCTCTCATGCAAAGCTAGCTTTGACATGATCATTTTCATAATTAATTGTAAATCCCAAATTTTTTTATTTTTTTATTTTTTTTTCTACTTTAATAATCATTGTATTTATTATTGTAGTATGACTAATGCCACAATAATTTTTTCTATTGCCACTACAATCTACGTTCCAATACATACCACCACAATTTTTGCTATGACTACCACAACTTCCCACCCACTCAAAATATTTCGTCAACTTTTTTTATTCCTATAACTTTTTTCTGTTGATATTTTAAATATTTTGTTTTTGTTTTTCAAATCACATAAAAAGTACCTTCAATTTTCATCAAAATAATAATAATAATAATAAATTGTGATGGAATAGCCCAAAATTGTTGTAACATGTGATAGAGAATTGTGGTGGCATTAGAAACACCCTACTGTTATATGAGATATTATATGAACTATTATATATTATAGTTAATACTTTGACACGTCTAAACGGTATGAGCAAAGACCAACAACTGAGCGAAGGAGTCGAGTTTGGAGAAAAGTGAAAGAAAAAGCAAAAAGGAGAAAGGCAAAAGGAGCACGATAGGCATGGCGGAGGAGGAGGGAGGCACTGGGCATGGAGAAGAGGAATGCCGCAGTAGCCAGCAGCATCATCATCGGGGCTTGCTTTGTTGGGGGCAGCGCGTGCCATGCGCAAGTTTGTCCATTCTCAGTCTCACTCCCTCGCAACACATTTCTATTCAGTTCCAATTCAATGCAATAATTCAATTCTGGCCAAGTGCTCTCTGCTCTGCTTCGCACTACTGCACTGCCCTGCTGCCATGGAGTAGAGTAGCGTTGCTTACACTACTTCTCCATCATCAGCATCTGCATCATCCTCTCGCTTCCTGACCCTACCCTACCCTCATTATCGCCTTTTTCACTCTCAGATCCACACGCATCAGTTACAATCTCATCTCTCTCTCTCTCTCTCTCTCTCTCTCTCACACACACACACACAACAGCAACAACAACAGTAAGTGTTCTTGATGCTGTTTTAGTGGGGTCGACGCGAAGCTTTATCGTCGACGGATGCGGCAACGGTGCTGCACGGCGAATTGGGGTGTGTTTTTCAGTAGATGGAAGCTTGATCGAGTGGAAGTAAGCGATTTGACCACCGGCGACGGGTAGAGTTTCAGGCGGTGTCGCAGAATTGCAGGAAGGGTTGGTTGTGGACTTTTAGGGTGCATCGCAGACGTGGTTTAGACGTTGGGTGTCGATTGCGAGGTCGTTGTTGAGAGAGTCTGAAGAGTTAAGCGTAGCCTGATGGAGGTGATGACGCTGGTGTTTTTCGCGGGCGGCTTTTTTGGGCAGCTTAGTATTGTCGTGATCCGTTTACGTGCCATTCTCAAATTCACGTCTCAGCTTCTCACTTGTGTGAACGTTCCTCCCCGCTGTAAGTATATTGTTCAAAACCCTTCCAGTCATTTTGTTTATTGGTGCACATCTTAGCCAGTTTGCTTTACCCCTGCAAGGTCTTCACCATCTCATTCGGTTAATTTTCTGCGCCTTGAATTCGTGTGGATAATCTCCTCTTCATCGCATCACTATCACCTCTTGCGTGTTACCCTTCAAGTGCTATCGTCAATATTTGCAATTTTGCATTGCGTTGGAAAATTTGGTTGTAGAGAATAACTCTATGATTGTCAAAGTAAGCAGATAAAGACATTGTTCCTGAGTGCAAATTGAGAATGCTAATCATGTACTAAAGTTTGTGTTCCAACTAGCCTTTCTTCTAGCTTTTTAGGTCAAGTACCATTTCTTTTTTCAAAATTTTTAAGCGCATTCTTGAAGGAGAGTAAATATTTTTTATCCTGAAATGACGGTTCGATGGATACATCAATCGAGTTTGAAGGCCACTCATGCATCCTTACTATGCAAACACCCTACCTGCTAACTGGAACTTTTGTGGTGGCAGTACTTGTTTAGGTATGTACTTGCGTATTGAGGTAGTGTAGCAAGGACCATGCCTCATTTGTTGAGGAAGAATTTCGATGAAAACTTTTTAAGTGGAAGAATTAGAAGAGGCAGAAGAAATGGAGGTGAGACTTTCGAAGAAGCGGAAGAAGGGGAACTGGATGGAAGTGTGGTTTGGGCTGAGAAGCCCAAAACTGGTGATCAAGAGATGATTTGGAATGCGAAAGGTCTTGATGCTAAAACGACTGTGAAATTTGAAAAGTAAGTTTATTTGTTCATAGAAATACCTAAAAATGTGCCGTGTTTGGCCTAAGTTGGTGTCTGACGTTGCCGCCGAGTGTCTTTATTCTTGAGATGTAGAAAATTTGGAAAAAAGGGTCCCTTGTTAATATTTCTGTGCAGCCATTGTGTATTGCCTCAGCCTTTCTCTTGCGGTGACATTGGTGGTTCCTTGCTGATGTGCAGGTACTCAATTTTCAAGGATCTGGTTTATTATGCCTTTTATCTACTTTCAATTCCCTTCATAGTGTGGATAGGTGGAGGAGTATATGCGCCTACTGGTCGTTTTTTGGTACCTTCAAAGGTCTCACTTAGTAGTCTAGTGTTTGCTCAACTTGCCTTGGGCTGCTGTTGTAAGTGTTACTAATCTGAGCTAAACCCATTGTATGTTCAAGCATGTGAATTGCAAGAACTACCTTTAGATTCATGTAATGACTTTCAATTTAGTTTCACCAATTAGACTACTGTGTGCTTTAATATATTGCAACTGTACGGATATAGTCGGCTCCTAGGTGTTATCCATATCTAATTCTTAAAAGTGAATATGATTCCAGCTTCTAAGAGGACTGTGCTATGCCCTAATTTTGTTTAGTTGGTGAATAGCAGTCATGTTGGGAGTCTTTACTTACATGTCAGAATGTTTTGGTATCTGTGTTAACAGACTACGCTTTCAATGGAGTAAGCTTGTTCGCCCCTGTGAGAGGAAATAATCTCGAATTTCAATACAATATTGTATTATTGAACATAATATGGATTACGCGCTATGTGGTATGAGCCTTGTATCTTTTCGCATTTTATCATCTATATATTAGCATATTCTCCACATCCAGTTTTTGTCGCATTTGCACACCTCACTGTACATAAGCGTACAGTTGCGTTTATTGATCATAGATTATGTGCAGTGCGGTATTCGCTTCGCCAACTAACTTTACCCAACAAAAGTCTTTGCATTGCAAGGGTGCCAGAGTTTTAGGATCTGTGTTAGGGGCTCTTTTCACCTCAGAATTCTGAGCTAGTGCAAGATTCGAGCAGAAGGAGCCGAACCATTGGCTTGTGTGTTTGTCCACCGGTTTACAATATGAGTCTAATTTTGTCTCCATTGTGATGAAAATTTTTATTCGGGCTAAGTTGCAGACCCAGTTTGACCACTTGCCTATCACTTGAGTATCTTCAGAAATTAGAAGGTTAGGAATCATGTCCATTGCATTGTGTATCCAAGAACTTAAAAGACTAGTATTTTGTTTAAATTTTCATGTTGTAGTTTTCATGTTCTCATCGGGTATGTGATCTTTGTTTTTCCACAGTAGAGTTAGATTATCTCGATAGCTATTAAATGTTTGCAGGTATTATTGTATCTTGTTCTTGAGGTCGATCTTCTACACTAATTTCGGCAGGTGGCAGTAGGTTGGGTAGATACTCCTCTGCGGAAAGTGTGGAGCAGGAATTTTTGTTGGCTACAATTCATTGTCAAAGATTTTTGTCGAACTACAATTTTCAGTTCGACATCAACATTAACTATTTTGAGGCAATGGGGGACATAGTATTAAATCTTTACTTAAGGAAAAGTCACGATCGCTTCATGCTATTTGTTTTAGATCTTAGAAATTCCGCGCAAGACATGATTTAAATGCTCATATTCAACGTCGTGGAATTTATTTTCAGTCGTTGCTTGTAGAATGGAGTATTATTTAACTTGCTTGTTGATTGTTTTATACCATTTACCAAATGGAAATCGTTGGTATCTAATGTGCATTAGTCAGAGTCTGAAAAGTTTTTGTGTTGTAGGATTTGAACGTCGTGGAGGAACCCAACAGATGGTTGGAGAGGGATAGCTGTCTCGACACGATGACAACGAAAACGGAAGTTAAAGATCTGCGACTGGGCAGCTTACCTCTCCGCTCATATGCAGCTCATGTAATCTGACAATCTTCCAGTTTGAGCAGGTCAGTCATCAAGACTATTAACAATTCCTTTCCTGTCCTGTCTTTCCATGCTACACGAACTGCATCTTAGTATCTAATTCTTATTTGCGTGGATCGTTGAACTTAGTGATTTGATCTGACTGGTTGCGAAGATTGTATTGCCTGTATGCTCTGTTCAATTTTGTTTATCGAATATTATCGTGGTCCTCTGCAAATTCTTTTCTCCTTTTTAGTAATATGCTGGTTGTGCTCGGGTAATTAAGAACATAGAACTCTTTCATCGGTATTGGACTTTGTTGACCTTCAGACTCTCTGGTATGCAGAGCAAGCGTGGTGGTGTGTTTGGATGCTGTGCTTACCCGCATTGTGTGGCCTGGCGGTGATATTAGTACAGTGCGCCGAGTGGGGAGTGCGACACTCGCTCAGGGCAAGACAAGCTGATTGCACTATTAATTATTGTCAGCTCTTGGATCAAATGTTTTCGTTCTCTGCACATAGTAACTTGTGTTTTGTGTACTTGATGTCAGCCAGCATGTGGAAAATTACTTGGAGTTGGAAGTAGCATATAATTATATCCGTCTAGATGCAAGGTCTTCTGTGTATTTCCTCTTAAATTAAAGAATTTCGTTCACCTTCTGAAGAATGTGGTACCACTATTACAGTACTGGGATGGTCACAATTATAAGGGTGTCCTGTTGACTCGGAATTTGTGGTTTCAGCTATGCGTTTTGTTTTGGTGGTTGTGGGATCGGCCTAGTTAGGATATTCAGCTTACAAATGTAAGTCGTAACAGAGGTGATAATTATAATTATTCTTGTTAAATTGTTTTTATGTACATGAGGCCAATCGGCTGTGTTCATAACTCTGTATCAGTCCTGTTGACATTATTGCGTGTTTACTGATGCTGAAGGCGTAATGACTTTTACTGCATCTGAAAATCTGTGGGCGTTCAAGTTAATGCATCCTTGAGATGATGGTAAATACCTTGCACTGGTGAATCTGTAAATTAATATATTTAGTCATCTGGAAAACAAATTTGTTGTGAAACAATTGAAACTGCAACAGGAGATCAACCAGGAGATAATAATGAGCTAAACCCCGAGGATCTAAAAGTGTACTGACCAAAATGCAAAAGCCACAAACAATCACCTCTGTTTGCTGTATAGACACAACGTCCCAGAAACCAGTGTTCCGATCCTTGCATGAGAGGAAATGAACCAGATTTAGTGACCAGTTGTGAACATTGTGTCGACAGTCTATAACACAGAAACTAGAATTGATCACTATTGAAAGGTATACTTCATTGCAGCCACTATTGCAGAACAGACATTTATTGGGATCTGTAGTTAATAAGGAAGAGCATTCAGCAAGCATGAGTAAAAGATAAAAGCAAGATATTTTGCCCTTTTGCTAAAAAGTCTTCTACTTATTTTGTAGGGTCATAATTAAGACAAGACAAGGTAGATTAGACATAAAACTATTATAGAAATCTTTAAGTTAAAATTAAAGAAAAACTTGAATCAATACTTAGGGAGGATCTTTTGTGAACCACATTTAAAATTAGTCCCTAAGGCTAAAAAGACAAGTGCCTATGGCAAATATAAGGTTTTTTAGTTCATAAAAAAAATGAAATTAGATAAGAGAATTTAAGAAATATTAATAGATATTAAATTCATGCAAAATAAATTTACAATAACTATGTGATTTCTAACAAAGCCAAAATTTTGTTTTAATAGCTATAAATTAAGGTCTATATTTTGGCCAATATTGTGAACTTTTTGATAGATCTATTAGTGAATTTTTGTAGTTTTTTGCATATACTTGTGATAATTGTGTAACTTAAATTTGAGCTGAATTTCTTGGTTTAAGTTGAAATTATTGAAATTCAAATGTGTTAGATATTTGATAGTTGGTAATTTGAGGGTCAATAAGGATATCAAAGATTTGCTAATTACGTTGAATATAGATTTGTGAGCTAGTATTTGACATGGAGAACACAACCTATACAAATTTGAGAGCAAATTGATCATAGAAGATAAACATATTGCAACTAGGAGTTTGACATCAAAGTTGAGAAAGAAGGTTGCACAACATTCAAGAGACCTATTTTTCTTTTCTTTCAACTTGTAAGTGCAATTCATTTTAAAATTTTTGAGAATATTTTTAACCAAAAAGAATAAATAAAATAATTTTAATTGAAGCAAAATTAACAATTGACCAAAAAGTCAATTTAAAAAATTTATTATTAAAATTAATAGATTTTGCTTAGGATTTTATTAGAATTTGTTTAGAAGTTTTTTAGAGCTTGATAAGATTAGTTGGAATTTCTTATAATTTTATAAAAGTTTCATCAAGATTTATTTTAGGATTATTTTTGGATTTATTTAAGATTTGATTAGAATTTTCTTGGAATTTATTTAGAATTTATTTAGGATCTAATTAGATTTTTTTATGATTTTTTTAGAATTTAATTAAGTATTTATTAGGATTTACCTTGAATTTATTGAGGTTTGGTATGATTTGTTAGAGATTTCTTAGGATTTTCTCAAGAATATTTTAGAGTTTGATTAGGATCTAATAGGGTGTACTTAAGGTTTCTTAGGACTTACTTAGAATTTTGTTTAGGATGTTTGTAATTGCATAGATTTGTAATTTAGAATTGATAGAAATCAAAATTAATTAAATTTAGGATTTTAGGTAAATCAAGATTGTGAAGACTAGTGTTTTTAAACACCTCATGCTTTTTTTGGATTATTTTTGAAGAAATTAAAAAATTAGATAAAACTCTTCTACAGCTAAATGCATGGTGCATTTTTAAACTAGATTTTACATAACACAACATTATCATTGCACATCCAAGCTTTGATTATAGAGTTGGTAGATATGTATGTCTTATTTTGTTACCCTATAGAGTCAGTAATATAATCACTATTCTTAAATTATGTGAGGTTGTATTCTCTTCAGTTTTGGTATATAAAAAAGAAATGTCTAAAAAATAAATGTTCCACAACACCTGACAAGCACATAATCTATTGGTATCTATTTATTGAAAAGATGCTCATAGAATTACCAATTATCTAAAAGAATCCCATTTATAAATAGAACTTTAAAAAAATATTTTATAAAATTGCTAAAAAAACGTTTCTTAACAAATGTTCTTGTATTTTGGAGTATTTTCATTGATCTAGAATAATAATAAAGACCAAATTTATGGTATAATTGATTATATTTTAAAAAATACATTGAACAAAGAATTATTTTTACTCCTCACTTTTTTTGTATAATTCAAAAAATACCACAAAAAAAATTATATAAAAATTATGTCACAACATTGTTGCAGTGTAGAATTTTCTTTTCAGATTCCATGAACCTTGTTTCTAAACTAACAATTGAAGGATGTAATGAAGTTCTACTATTTAAAGTGGGCAATGAATTTACATCCATACTGACCGAGATTGATAGGCTTTCCAACACGGTCATCTTAAAAAATACCCTAAAGCTGCGAATCGCGGGTTATCCACAGAATACTGGTCGCCGGTGTCCCCGACTGACCCGGTTTCGGACGCAAAACCCCCTCAGGACCTGTCCCTTGCTCGCAGCATCTCGCAGAGCTTCAGAAGCACAAGCATTAGAAGCACAAGCACAACGATAATTCCCCGCAGCTGGAGCAGCTTAGTCCTCAGGCAGCACGCGCGCCGGAGCTGCTGCTACGGACGAGCTCATGGCTGCTCCTCCTTCCGTTCAGCCGAATTCGTAGTTGGAAGCATTCTTCAGGTACGGTGTCGTTCCGGTCGCGGGTTTAACAGGGGTTTCTCGTGCGTATTGGAACAGCAGTCTTGCAGCATGGCTCCTAATTGCGTGAAGATAAGACTTAGGGTTTAAAGTGCAGGCTCTAATTTCTCTGCAGAGACGATGCGGGATTCCGAAAGCTAAAGGAATGTTGTGGTAGTCGATGATACGTTTGGACGAGTTTTGAGAAATTTTAGCAAAGTGTAAATGCGGGAAATGTTGTGGAGTGATGCGTGTAGATGCCGGTTGTGAAGGCTGAATTGAATTCCTTGGATCTTAGCATTTTTATAGTCTTCATGTTTGTGGTTTGATCACGAGGTTGGCCGGAATTGAACCAAACGAGGGGAATTTGTTTCAATTGATCGCAATGGAGTGAAAATTTGATCAGTTTTCGAGGTCGTTGTTGATGATTGGTTGACGTTTGTATGCAATGCCAAATTCTTCCTGTCAGGTGTTGTGGAATACCAATTGGCGCAGAGGTCCTTGACGAATAGCCTTGAGAGAGTGGCGGGGGAATTTGCTTGAGGTTTTCCTATGGAGATTTCTGTGATGGCGGGCGTGACTCCTGCGCGATTGCCACAGACTACTCACGTATTGGATGCTCGAAGTTCACATAACCTCTCGTCCGCGACCTTAGTTCGTAGAACCTCCAAAATGTCGCTACTTCACTGTCGTCATCGCGACAGATATCCTTCTCTGCATTCTCAACTTCCCAACTGGCGACAACGACAGATTTGTGCTGCATCGTCAAAAGAGGCCGACGAAGTAGAGCTAACTACTGGAGAAGAGAAAGGAGAGTCTTCGAATGTGCGGAGGAATTACTTTCAGGAAGGCAGGTCGAGAAACAGTGTGCAGTATAGGGAATCTGATGATGGGCCGTCATCAAGGCTCAACAACAATGCGCTTGAGAGCAGGGATTCGCAGAGACGACATTCCAACTCTAGGAACCAGAGGCTTACTTCGTCCAGCAGACGGGGCAGTGAGATGGAGGGGAAAGCTAGTCATTTTAGTACGAACAGGAGCGAATCTCCCAAGCCGAACACGTCTAAGTATTCTCAACATGATACGGAGGGTAACATGCACAGGGCGCCTTGGGATCAGGGTCCAGCGAGGGGAGCTAAAGCAAATCCTCGAGGTAGGAGATCACCGATTCCAAAAAATAAGGATGCAAGGGGGGATCGAGAAAATTACCAGGGCGGAGGACAAAGAGCTTCTATGGCTCGAATCGTCGAAAAGCTGCGTGCAATTGGGAACGGAGAGTCTGCAACTACGATGGACTTCGACAAAAATCCTCCTGCTACGGAGACTTCATCATTTCTGCCTAGGTCAGTAAGTCTTTCACATTGTTGAAGGTCTTGACATTTCTATCTTTATGTATTTTATTCTTGAGGTTGTCTCTTTTTTTTGATGACACCTGACCACCAAGATATCTAAGCGTGACTAAGTTTATCTTTTGGGGTTTTGTTTAACAATGTAGCTCCTTTGGGAATACTAGAAGGATCAATTGTCATCACAGAAGACATATTTGGATTCTTACATACGCATGAGTTGAATGTAGGTTGATAGACGAGATTGTGCAAAGCTGCTTTGTCTTTTTGTGGGTGTTTTTGCTCGAAATATCATGAGGTTGTGCAGCATTGATCCAAATTAATTTGGTCAAGGAGATAACAAGTTTTCTTTTGACTTCAGACCCGGTCAAGCTGTGCACCCTGGTCTGGACCGAAGATGGAGCAATTCTAATCTTGAGCAGCCTTCCGACGATCTTGGATCAAGGTTTCCTTGGGCCATGGGTGAGAATGAAGAACAAGAAGATCATGAACAGATTGAGAAAAAGAAGAGAGTTAGATCACCCTCCGTGGCAGAGCTCACACTACCAGAGCCTGAACTGAGAAGGCTACGTACACTCGGGCTGCAATTGCAGGGACGGCTGAAGATTGGTCGATTAGGGGTTACCCCTGGCATTGTGGAGGCAATCCATGATAGGTGGCGTACTTCTGAGCTTGCTAAAGTGAAATGTGATGCACCCTTGTCAATGAATATGAAGAAAGCGCACGAAGATCTTGAGGTTAGTTCATATTATTTCGTTTTGCCATACTGCTGGATAATGGAAATAAAAGAAACAAGAACGAGTATGTCTTAATTTTGATTTTCCGGACAAATTACTACTTAGAACTTGGCATCTGGTTCGTCTTGGTTAGAATGATCGCATCGCATATTTTGAGATATGCACGATCCCGGCTTTTGGAGTTATCATTTATTGAATTTAGCCATAGGCGAGGAAACAAAATATGAGATAGCAGTAATGAGAATGTTTCCTGTTCCCTTCAACATATTAACTGGACTAAGCTCGTAAGGGAAACTAGACGTTTAGACGAAAGCACTTAATCACACTTTCGTTGGTCAGTAAGAGCTGGGTTTATATTGGTAATTACTGGCGACCAAAATTGTAAGTTCAGATGTCCAAGCGCCTGTGCGAATGGAAACATTGAAATGAAAGCTTGACGAAGTGTTTTGATATGAAGTATTTTCCAGTTAGTGTCTCTTTGAAACATTTATGCTTAAGCTAAATGTTTCCATTTGACTGGTTCTGGCTACAGAGATTAACTGGTGGGCTAGTCATATGGCGTGCGGGCAGTGCCGCAGTAGTCTATCGTGGGAAGGATTATGTCCATCCTTTTGTGCTGGAAAGGGAAGAAAAGGAATTATTGTCTCTGGATCTAGACGAGGATGAGGAACAGGAGCTACTTATGGAAGCTGGTAGTGAAGTGGAGATGGAGTCATCAATTGAAGAGTGCTTCGACGTCACCGGAGATCAATCTGGAGGTAGAGCTTCACTGGGTACTTCAGTGCAGTCGATGCGAAGTGCACACAACATTAATATGATACAAAAGCTGAAATGACATAAAAATTTGATCTCCTTTAGGTTGATTGCTAACCTTTCGTTTACAAATGTAATGCTTCCGAGCCTTGGGCATAGAATTTACTCTATGTTAAAGTTGTTTGCGCGCGGAAAGTGCTTTTGGTGAGAAATTTCTTCATCGTAGAAATGAAAATTTTCTTTTTCTACTGCTGTGAGTCTTCAGTCAAAATAAGAATATTGATGTCGATGTTTGATGTGAATACAGAAAAGGAATTTCTCATGAAGCAAGGGCAGAACGCTGATCTGATGATGATGGAGGAGTTACTGGATGGTCTAGGGCCGCGATACGCAGATTGGAAGGGGAAGGATCCTGTGCCAGTGGATGGGGATCTTTTACTCGACTCAGAGTTTAAATTTAAGCGTCCTTTCCGGCTTCTGCCCCATGGCGTAAAACCTAAATTGAACGATTTCGAAATGACACAGCTGCGACGTCTGGCACGTCCTGTTCCTCCTCATTTTGTCCTTGGTGAGTACCTCGAATGCTTCTTTCTTATGCACGTGAAACAATTATCTTATGCGAAGTTTTCATGTGTTTTCTACTGATTCTACTGTGGTATGAGTAATGTCTGTTTAGTCAGACGTCAATTTATCAGCTGGTCGATTACGCTGTCATAGTGCTACTGATATTGAGTGGTCCCATGTATTTTAACTCTTGAGATTTACCCAAATGAATACTGCATTTATACTCTTGTGATTCATTGTGTATTTTATTTAGGGAGGAACAGAGGACTCGATGGACTGGCTGCAGCTATTATGAAGCTGTGGGAGAAGAGTGAAATTGTGAAGATAGGTGTGAAGAAAGGGGTTCAAAATACCAGCAACGAGAAAATGGCTGAAGAATTAAAGGCAAGGATTACAAGCAAATTTCCATCTTCGCGTATCACCGTCGTCATATGCAGAAAAGAATCGGAGTTTTAACGTTGCTTTCCCTGTGGTTTGCAGAGGCTAACTGGAGGAACCTTATTAGCCAGGGATAAAGAGTACATAGTACTTTCTCGTGGCAAAGACTTTTTGCCCTCAGCGGTTCGGGTAGCGCTAGAAGAGAGGGACCGTATGGCTAAAGCAGTGCAGGAGGAGGAAGAAAGGATTCGTTTGAGTGGTCGCAAAAGAGTAGTGCAAATCGTTGATACCAGGTACTAGGGTCTCACTTCTCATTATTTAGTTTCTTGTCCTGGAACCGGTTAAATGGCTAATCAATGCTAGTTCTTATTATGTTGTTTGTCTTGGATGTTGACAGCAAAGTAGGGACTTTGGAAGAGGCTATGGAAACAAGAGCTGCATGGGAAGGCTGGCAAAAGAGTGATGAAGCTCGAAAAGAAAGAATTGCAGCACGAAAAGCAAAAAGAGGTCAGGCTATGGACAGGATTCGGCAGAAAATGAAGCTTGTAAGTACATCTCAGTGTAGCATTTATGGCATGTAGTATACATTTATGATGATTGCAGTGTCCTACATGTCATGAACAATAAAACTGTGTTCACATCAAGACTAATTTTGTCATAGTGCTCGCTGGATTTGCTCTAGCACTTTAGTACATGGTCCATGGAAGTCCATATTTATGTTTCTGGTCTTTATTTTGCTGCAATTATCTCGGAAAGGTTCTGACCTTTTCAAGATAATTATTGTAATTATTGTGATTACGTTCCGAAGCCTGGTACTTCTGACACGCAGTAATCCTACCCAATCAAGGATATCCTAGCACGAGAGTTCAGCTAATTGCTTCCAAAGAAAAATATTTCCTAGTATTTGTTTACTACTTTTATATGCTATTCTTATATAGGAATATTTCCATTTCTCAGGCACTTCAGAAGAAGGAAAGGGCAATGGCAGAGCTAGCGAAGATAGATGCAAAAACGAATCCTACGGATGCACCCCTAGACAAGGAGTTTCTTTCAGAAGCGGAGAGATACATGTACAGACAGCAAGGGTTAAAACATAAGGGTTATCTTCTGTTGGGTGAGTTTTTATCCTCTATCTAGCTTGTAGATCTAGCTTCTTATTCTTCCCAATCTGGCTTTTTAAGGATATTCTTCAAACTCAACAATTCTTGCTTAATTCGGTGCAGCTCTGTGGCTACCTCTTTTCCTCTCTAAAGTGAAAGTAAAATGTGCAAAGTACTTTGATTTTTCACAGGTAGAAGAGGAGTATTTGGTGGTACTGTTGAGAATATGCATCTTCACTGGAAACACAGGGAACTTGTGAAAATCCTTGTGAAGGCACCAATAGCTGAGGCCCAACAAACAGCTAAGATGCTGGAGAGAGAGAGTGGAGGAATTTTAGTGGATATCGTCAATACTTCCAAAGGACAAGCCATCATAGTGTATCGTGGCAAAAACTACCAGCGCCCATCTGAACTAAGACCTAGGCATCTTCTTACAAAGAGACAAGCCCTAAAACGTTCTCTCGAGGTGCAACGAATGCAGGTACTTCCTCCACTCTTTTCACTTCAGCCCAGCTATTTTTTGAATTGCTAATTGTGTAGATGCAGAATCAACATTAGAGTGGACTCTGCTGTATCTCGTGTGCCTTTCATAACTACAATCATTTGGTTTTTTCAAGTAGAAGAAATGATTCATATAGAGTTATGCTGACGCCCGCATAAAGCCAGCATTTGGGCTCGTGTCTGATTAGAGAATTTGGAGTGTTAGTTGTGCCTGTACATGGAGAATTGGCCAAATTTCGTGCACACAATGGTCGTGAATGTCTTATCTGTATTAATTGAAAATTACCGTATGTGTACTTTTAGTCATTGGAGAAGCATATCCAGATACTGATGACGGAGATTGAGACGATGCAAGCAGGCCTGGTTAGTCTCACGACCTAGTGTTACACACATGCTTATGTAAATTTTGGATTAGGGGTAGTGGATTTCAAATCTAGGAACCAACCCTTTATCTTCATGTATGTTTTGAATTCTAATGCTGCAAAGATTGTTAGTCCACTGGTATTTGGTTTGCTTATAAGCTTGGATTTAATGTTGATTACATAACATGCCTCAGCCAAAGTAACCTCTACAATCTTATCTTATGTGTCTGAAATCATGACTATCCTCACATTTGGATGTACGGTGATTGTCGGGATTTTGAACAGAACAAAATGGAGGAACAAGATGAGTTGGAAAATGAAGCTGGAACACAAGGCAATCTCGAAGATTTTGATGCTACTGATTTTAATTTGGACAATGTAGGGAAGTCGATACAGGTTAAGAATTTCTTCAAGGCTGAACCTCTTACACGCAAACAAAGACAACATTTGCGACAACAAATACCTTTGATGTTGGGTAGAACTGCCAACTTCAATATTGGTAAGTTCTACATATTTGTCCACTGCTCCAGCTACACCTAATTTTTTATGAGTCGTCCTTGACGTCATGTTTTTTCGGTCATCGCCGTGGTTTTTATTTTAGGGTGTACAGTGACTGAGAAGTACCTTTTAATTAAAATTAACGTTAGATTGATCTGAATGATGGCGAATTTCACAGGAAAGACCACTTTGTATGAAGACTTAGCCAAGTCAATTTGTGCTTATCTTCAAAAGCATCCTTTCGTGAAAGTTGGCGTGAAGGGTAGACCCAAGGGCTCGTCTGTGGCTTCAGTTGTAGAACAAATTGAGGTATTCTGCCTGTCCATGGTCCGCCTGTTGTAATGCAACTCTTATACCAAATTATTATGTCACAATTCTTTTTAGACTATGGGAGAAGCACCCAACAATTCACAGGCACCTAGTATTCTTCTTCTGCTGACTTATCGTAGGGGATCAGCTACGAGTATGATGTGACATAAGGCAGCAGAATTAGAGTAAAGTTTCGACATTCTTGAATGGCCTTGATGAACAAACCCCGGTACAGTGGACCTAGTAAGATACTACTAGATCCTAGTATAGTACTCTGGGATTTATTAATTTTTTTACTTGAGTTTCAGGACAGCAGCACCTAATTAGTGTATTAGCGGAGCTCATCATGTTAACTTAAAAGCAGTTAAATTCTGATTTTTAATCGCTCGTTTCTTTGTTTTCAGGAGCATACTGGGGCTGTTTTAGTCTCAACAGAGCCAAGTAAGCTTATATTTTATCGTGGCTGGCCTGCTGGCGAGGAACGACCAGACCTGACAGCTTACAAGGAAGGAATAGAAGATGAGCTTTCATCAGATAGACGAGGTCTGAGTGACTTGGATGTTGAATCTGAAGATGAAGACGAAGATGATTTTGACGACTTTGGGATTGATGCATGGAATGATGAGGATTGGGAAGAAACAGCTGAGGATGAGGAAGTTACACATGAGGAGAAAGAGGAAGAGCTTCGTCACGAGGATGCCACCTGAAGTTAGTGGTTCAGCTTTTCTGGTGGAGAATCAAACTTATGTTAAACAAAAGGGAATGAAGATTTTCCCTTGGCAAGGAACAGTGCAAACTTGTGGTCAAAGTTAACTAGCATTTCAGCACTCAAATCGTTTAATCTTAGTCTGGAATACATCACAAGCCTGACAGATGTAGGGGACAAACTATCGATTTAGTGTAGACATTGCAGACCGAAACGGCATTAGTTTCAGGGTAGGTGGATAGGGCTCTAGAGGTATCAACCCCGAGGTAGAAAAGGATTCAGCTTTGACTTTCTTCCACCAAGTTCTTTCCCTTCATTTCATTTTTCCTTGGTCGTTACGAAGTTGTTTCTTCTGCAGGGGCTTCAGGAATTTGTCGATTTAGAATTTCTTAAATTCGCGAGTGTGTGATGTAGTCTTTTAATATTCAGGGCTTACTGTAACATAGTTCTTTTCTGAATGTTTCCACATCTAGCCCTGTAACTGCTTCAATGTGTGTCGATTGAATATTGAATCAAACCAACCATGAGCTTCAAAACGATATTGTAATACACGACATGAATTTATTCTAAGTCATCTTAAACATTAAATACCATCTAAAATGTTGATCTTACATTATATATCTGTGCTCAATTGTATAGCTGGCAACAATGAGTCATACATTAACACATTTGACCATATAATTCAGTTTTTGCTTTTGCATCTTTGTGAGCAATATGGTCAGATTTATTTTTATGACACGGCTTTTGAAACTCAATTGTCTTTGATAACATTTTTTTTTTTTTTTTTTTTTTTTTTTTTCCTATTTAGATAAGGATATTTTGTATGATACCCAAGAAGGAGTCCATAGTATAAATCCTTTTGTGCAGCAATTCATGTAAGCACATGTGGAAGCCCAAGATAACAATTCTTCTGTTGTTAGTAGTAAGAAATCATAGAAATGATATTCAAAGTTACAGTGTTTCAATTGCAAATAAAATTGCCACAATTATTGTTAATGGAGAAATTGCATTTAAAGGTAGAAATATGATTCTTTGTGCAATTGATGGTGTGTACAATTCTCTAATGTATCCTATTATGTTTCTACAAAAAAAATATATATAGGAGGAATCCAACTATATCCTATAAAGGAATTGAAATCATAGAAGCCAATCTTGACAACAATAAAGAAAGGTAAGAATTAGATAGAGAGCTTCTATCTTAAAAAATAAAAAAAAAAATAAAAAAAATGAAAAGTGAGTGCAATGGATTATGCATCATATTGCTTATATTTTTGTGAGCCAAAATATGGATATACCTACTAGTATGGAAGACTTTTTTAACAATATATTGTTAATTAATATACTAAAATTGATCAAAGATGCCTTTGTTGGCTCCAATTAAATCAAGATAATTTTTTTGCTAATTTTTACCAAAGATTAGCTAATTACTTGGAAAATGATGTAATTTTAAATTATGTAAAAAGATGTAATATTTTGCTTTTTTCTTTTGTAGGAAGTAGTAGATATATGTACCATTGCTACCAATATGCTATGAACATAATTCAAGTATATGGGTGGTCAAATCTTTTTGTTATCTTTATATGCAATCCTCAATGGCAAAAATATTTGGAAGAATGAAAAAGCCAAACATCTTTATATTTTCCTAATTTGGTTACTCAAGTATTCAAGCAAAGATTCATAATATTAAAATAATTCTTCATAAATCATTGAATACTTGAAAAAATATTGTACATATAAATATTATTGAAATTTTTAGAATTATTTTTTTACATTCTCAACTTTATATTATCTTTAACTGAGATGAGAAATCAAAAGAATTATGTTTTTGTGACATTAAATGCTCAATGCATTAAAAATGGTGCATGTAAAAAAAATAAAAAATAAAAAAATAAAACTTTAAAAAAAAAATACAAAGATGGTAATAATTATTCTTGTTATTAAAGAACGAGCATTGATGTTGCCTTCCAACAATTGCTCATCGTCAAAGGATTGTTGGCATTCTTCAAAGTTGGTATTGTTAGCAATGTTGCTTATATTAGATTACAATGGTGTCGTTCTTTTTTTAATTGTTGTGAAGTGTGATGTTGGTTCTTCTTGGTAGTTGTAATAGAGTGACAAGTAGATTAGTGGTATTTTCTTCTCTTTTATTTCATTGATTGTGGTTGACATTCCTTGTGCTGTAATGATTACTATGGCAATAGGTTGATGCTTCTTCTCATCTGATGTTGTAATGGAAAAAAGAGTTGGTTTTTTTTTGATGGTAGAAAGCTTATGTCAAGTGGCAATGGCACAATTTCTGTTAAGGTTCTACTTGTATTGTGGTTGAGCTCTCATTGACACTAGTGGAATATTTGAAGTGTTGTAAGTTGTCTTCATGTATGAATTGTATTGGTAAAGTATGACATCCTTGCTTTGAGTAAAACAATCTCTTTGCATTGGTTCAAGCTTTCTCTTCTTTTAGGTTTCAAAGTCATTGATAACTTCTTTAATCAAGATTACAAGAAATAATTCTCCCACTTTGATAGAGAAGTAGAATATCAGCCTAGATATAGGGTGAGAAGAATGGACATTTTCTTGAATTTTTTGGAGTCAATGATTCTATAAATATATCGGCAATGTTGTAGTCAGTAGAGATGTAGTTGATTTGTAGAAGTCCATTCTAAATTTATTCTCTAATCATATGATACTTGATATTCATATGCTTAGTTCATGAATAGAATTCATGATTAAAAGCAAACATGATAGCACTTTAAGAATAAGAGTATAAAATTGTAGTTGTATCTTGAAATAATTCTAGATCAACATGGAGTCTTTGACACTATATGATTTCTTTTGTAGTCATATAATAATTAATATACTCAAAATATGTTATACTATCAACAAGGCAGGCTTGCTTTTTTGACCTCTAACTGATTGGGCATCCATTCAAAAAAAACATATCCATTGTGAGATTTTTTTGTCATCAACACTTGTTGGATAATCAACATTTGCATAAGTAATAAGTAGGGTTGGAGAGATAGCACCATTATAAACTAACTTGAAATCTAGAGTAGTACGTAGTTATTAAAAAATTCTTTGAATAGTGTTGCAATGAGCATGTATAAACTTGGACTTGAAAAGAACAACATTATTGAGTGAATAAGAGATATCAAGATGAGTTCTGCTGGATGCAAATTGGAGGCTGCTACTTACATTGACAAATGAAAAAATATTGTCATTATGTATATTTAAAGAATGAACAATATGAAATATTGAGTTAGAATCCTATAGAATTGAGATAGAAGAAGAATATTCAAAGTTGTATTCATGGAGGATTCTTTATAGATAAGCTCATTGATGAAAAAAACTAAGTCTTGATTTACAATTCTTTTCAATCTATAAGCTAACATAGATATTTGGATTGTTAATTCAAGTTTTGAAGAAATAATTCATAGTATATAGAATGTAATCAATATGTCCTCTATCATGATAGCAATATAAGTCATCATCAATGAAAATAAGAATGATGAGTTTTTTTTTTTTTTTTTTTTTTTTTTTTAGAATGGTATACACAAGAGTTGGTAGAATTTTGCTTGAGTTTGTAATAATCAAAAACTTATTAATTTTATTATGCCATATCCTATTGGCTTGACATAATAGACTTTTTTTGAAAACTGATGATCTTTAAATTCAAGAGCTTATTTTATAAATATTTCTTCAAAAAGTTGGCAATGTAGAAACGTAGTTTTAATATCAAACTACTTGATTTACATATCTTTTTGAATAGCTATAGCAACAATAAGATAGATTGAGTCAAATTTTATGGTTAGAGAGTAAGTTTATGTATAATTGATTCTATATTGATGTGAACAACTTGTAGTGATTAATTGAGCCTTAAAACAATCAATAATGCCATCAATTTTGGTTTTAAGAGTAAAGATCTACTTGCAATTCCTTACTTTTCATCCAAATGGTAAATCAATGAGACCTTACATTTTGTTTACAAGTAAGGACTTGAAGTCATTTTACATGGCTTTCAGTCAATGTTCCAAATATAATGAAGAAAGAATTTCTTGAAAAGATTGTAGAATTTCTAAACTAGTTATAGAATCTTCAAAATTGATTTGTGTATGCAAAAAAGTCTTGATAAAGTTAGCAAAGGTGTAATGTTAGTTTCAAGTTGAGTAACCAAATTGAGAAGGAGGTCGTTATTCTTGTTGTGTAGAAAGAGGATAAAGAGAAAAAAAATCAGATCAAGGTTCTTTAATTGAGTGAGCACGTAAAGATGATACTAGTGATATTAGTCATTGTTTTTGGTAATCAAAGTCTTGTCATACTGGTGGTCATTCTTAACAAGTTGGGTTTGAAATAAAATCAACAATAAGTGGGATAATATCATGAGGATGAGGTGATGTATTCTTATTGCTTATATCTTCGAAATTGCTTGGTTGATCTTTAATAATATTAGATGAGAATTGATTTGTGTCAATGAAATTGATTTAGCCATATAAGAATTAGAAACTGAGTTGGTAATGTTGGCATTTACAAGATGGTTAGGATGATTTTTATAACAACAATTAAATGAACAATCAAAAAATAAAAATAATACCTCAATAGTAGCATCATTAAAAGATGTATTTTAAAAAAATGATGTATTTTTTGTATATTTATATTCATCAAAGATTATGTCTCCACTTATAATGACTTTCTAAGTTTCAAATCCAATATTCTTTAAAATTATCAAAATAATTGAAGAAGAGTCTAGTGTAGTTCTTAGGATTTAATTTCTTGTATGAGCAATGAGAAACATGAGTATATACTTTACAATCAAATGGCCTTATATGAGCTAGTAATGACTTTGTTTTTGAATAATCCTTGAATAGTGTCATGTGTAGATTTAATCGTAAACAAGTATAATTCAATGTATATATTATATTATCCATTACTTCTACCCAAAATAAAAAGTTAATTTTTATATAATAGATCATATTTCAAATTGCCTTTGTAATTGTTCTATTGTTTCACTTAGAGACATCTTTTTATTTTGGAGTATAAGAAATGGTGAGTTCATACTTGATTTCATATGCATAAAAAAAGTCAATAAAGCTTCTATTGCAAAACTCACCAGTATTGTCATTTCATAAAGTGAATACTTAATAATCAATATTTCAAAGAATAGCCTTGCATACTAATTAATTTTTTTTTAGAAAATTGATTTTTTTGAAAATATAAAAAATAAATCTATAACATATGTAATCATCCTAAAAAATATATATAATAAAGTGATCTACCATGAAAGAAGATGCTCATTGGTCCATAGATATTATAGAGATTCAACATCCTAATATGTGTTGCTTTGATTTTATTGATATTCTTAGAAAATGAAGTGTGGTGTGCTTTATCAAATATACAATTGGAACATAAGGTAAGAAGTTTTGTCATCTTTAGTCTTAGTCCATTTATAGCACTACTAATAGCTATTTTTTGTATCATAGCATGATATAAGTGGCTTAATTAAAGATGTCAAGTTTGAATGTCTAAAAATTCTTTGGAAGAA